AAACGATTGGATATAGAGTTCAAAACCACGTTTATAAGGTTTTTCAAGAATTTTCTGGAAACCGCCGATAAATTTAGTGAGACCCTCGAGGATATGAAAAAGTACCAACTAGAAATTAAGCATTCACTGACTGAAATAAAGAATATTATACAGACTCCCAACAGCAGACCAGAGGGTCGCAAGGATCAAGTCAAAGATTTGAAATACGAAGAAGCAAAAAACACCCAACCGGAAAAGCAAAATGAAAAAAGAATCCGAAAATACGAAGATAGTGTAAGGAGCCTCTGGGACAGCTTCAAGCGTACCAACATCCGAATTATAGGGGTGCCAGAAGAAGAGAGAGAGCAAGATATTGAAAACCTATTTGAAGAAATAATGACAGAAAACTTCCCCTACCTGGTGAAAGAAATAGACTTACAAGTCCAGGAAGCGCAGAGAACCCCAAACAAAAGGAATCCAAAGAGGACCACACCAAGACACATCATAATTAAAATGCCAAGAGCAAAAGACAAAGAGAGAATCTTAAAAGCAGCAAGAGAAAAAAAGTCAGTTACCTATAAGGGAGTACCCATACGACTGTCAGCTGATTTCTCAACAGAAACTTTGCAGGCCAGAAGGGAGTGGCAAGAAATATTCAAAGTGATGAATAGCAAGAACCTACAACCAAGATTACTTTATCCAGCAAAGCTATCATTCAGAATTGAAGGTCAGATAAAGAGCTTCACAGATAAGGAAAAGCTAAAGGAGTTCATCACCACCAAACCAGTATTATATGAAATGCTGAAAGGTATCCTTTAAGAAGAGGAAGAAGAAGAAAAAGGTAAAGATACAAATTATGAACAACAAATACACATCTATCAACAAGTGAATCTAAAAATCAAGTGAATAAATAATCTGATGAACAGAATAAACTAGTGATTATAATAGAAAAAAAAATACATGAACTTAGTTAATAAATTTGAGTGGAAAGGTTAGCACTGTCGCCTCCTAGTGTCTTACTCGAGTACTCACTCCACTAGGAACAAATTCATCACTTCCCTGTAACAGTGTGGAACCAGCTGTGGGACTGGCTCCCAAAAGACAGCATCGACCCCTTCCTATAACTTCAGGTGGGAGCAGAGTGACAGTCCAGCGGGCAGCAAGGTTTTCTTCAAGATCCTGCCTCTCTCTAGCCCTGACCGGTTTGGCTCAGTGGATGGAGCGTCGGCCTGCGGACTGAAAGGTCCCAGGTTCGATTCCGGTCAGGGCATGTGCCTTGGTTTCGGGCGCATCCCCAGTGGGGGTTGTGCAGGAGGCAGCTGATCAATGTTTCTCTCTCATCGGTTTCTAACTCTCTGTCCCTCTCCCTTCCTCTCTGTAAAAAATCAATAAAATATATATATTTTTAAAAAAAGATCCTGCCTCTCTTGGGAAGCAGATTATAGATACTTTTCATGAAATTAGTAGACCCAGAGCACAGCCTGTCAGATGCATCCTCCAGATTTGACGTCTCGCCAACCAGTTCAGTGCTGACTGCCCCTGAGTGTCCGTTAAGGCTGGTGTCTCCCTCGCCCATAGCTGGTTACGGGGCCTGGACAGAGCCCAGACGGGAGCCGGGTTTTTTTTGGGGTTTTTTTTTTTTTTGTAAAACCCCACAGGTGAGGGGTGCTGCAGCTGGGAGGGAAGAGGGGCTGTGGGGGAAGGGCAGGCCTGGAGGCTGACCCAGCAACTTCCCCGCTGAACACGCAGTTCTCAGACCTGCCAAGGGAGCTGGCCGAGGGCGGAGGGACCCCACCCCGAGTTATTCCAGACGTGTTACCGCCTGGAAATGCCTTTCCCAGCGCACGTTCTGTGGGAGACAGCGCGTCGTTCTGAGTGTTAAGGAGAGGGTGGGCCCTGGCCGGCGGCAGGTGGTTGGGCACCGTCCCCTGCACGGGAAGGTCACGGTCCTATTCCTGGTCAGGGCACATGCTGGGCTGTGAAGTGAGTGCTCGCAGCAGCCAGGGGTGCTGCAGCTGGGAGGGAAGAGGGGCTGTGGGGGAAGGGCAGGCCTGGAGGCTGACCCAGCAACTTCCCCGCTGAACACGCAGTTCTCAGACCTGCCAAGGGAGCTGGCCGAGGGCGGAGGGACCCCACTCCGAGTTGTTCCAGACGTGTTACCGCCTGGAAATGCCTTTCCCAGCGCACGTTCTGTGGGAGACAGCGCGTTGTTCTGAGTGTTAAGGAGAGGGTGGGCCCTGGCCGGCGGCAGGTGGTTGGGCACCGTCCCCTGCACGGGAAGGTCACCGGTCCTATTCCTGGTCAGGGCACATGCCGGGCTGTGAAGTGAGTGCTCGCAGCAGCCAGTCGATATTTCTCTCCCCCTCGCTTCCTCACTCTAAAATCAATTTTAATATTTTAAAAATATTTTTTAAAAAAGAAGAGCAGGTGGTATCGACCCCACATCATTACTGAGCATTTGTTTCCACGGCTCCTAAAGGGACGATACTGCTGCTTCACGGGCCTCTCAGAGCCAAAACTTGGGGGGAAATAGGGCTCTACAGGGGACCCCGTGAGTACTCTCTGCCACCCATGTCGGTGCTGACGCAGGCAGGACTGCCCTCCAGGTGTGGCCGAGGCTGACGAGGATACAGACCCCCTCGGAGGAGGAGGAGGTGCTGAGTGGCCTGCAGAGCCTTCAAACCCAGGACGCCCTACTGCTGGGCAGATCCTGTGGGGACAGTGCCACCTAGCGGCCACAAGAGTGCAGAGGCGCATGTGTACACGTGTGTGCATGTGTGTGTATGTGTGTGCGTGTGCACGGAGGGAAGTGGATCTGGCTTACCCACAACCATTTAGCCCCTCTCATCTCTGTCCTGTGAAAGGGGCGAAGTCCAAGTGTTTGGAGCTGTAAATGACCTTCAGATGAAGTGATTTGTCCGAGGTGAGAGTGAGCAGACTGAAACACAGCAAAGTAACACAGAGGGGAGCTGCGGGAGCCCTGGGGGACCCCAGGCTTGAGGGTGGGCGCCACGCTCCCCCCCTTGAAGCTTTCCGAGCCCAGGACCGGCACTGTTTGGGTAGAAAGGGCCCACGCACTGGTCACAGCAGGTGTGCTTTCTAGGGGGCAGGAGGGGGGAGGGGCCACCCTGACCTCCGCTGAGGTGCCCGTCCTCGTGGACCCCTGCTTGAGGCCCTTCCTGGTGGCCCAGGCCCGGTCACCCCCTGGGACCCCACCCTGTGGGGCCCGTGTGTACGGCAGCTTCACCCTCGCTGCCCCCACAGCCCCACGGCTTTC